ACGCGCAAAGTTATCAACCGATCACTACCTTGTTGTTGGCACGCTGCGCTGTAAGAAATGTAGTATCATACGAAGATCTGGTGGCAGAAGCAACCGGAGAATGAAATGGTAAACATTATCTTCGGTAAGCACGAGAGCGAAATTTGGATACGCAACACTGCATGACGGTTTGAACAGATCCCGGTAATGACTACTGATGTGGAAACCGAGTAGCAGCTCTTTAGGAGCGGCATACTGGAGGCTGCCACCGAATGCTGCTGATTCAAACGAGTTGGCCTGCCTCATGGAGGGCAGAAGCGGACTTCTTGGTGGATATGACAGGTACAACTGGCAGTTAAAGAGAAGGAGGTTGCATTCAAGAAATGGCTTGGAAGGAAAGAGCAGTCAACTCGTATGCGGTATGTGGAAGTGTCCAGTGGCGACAGCTAAAGGTAATTCCAAGGAAAAGTTTAGTGAGGTGTTGGAGTCAAATTTTCAGATGGCAAAGAAGATATTCTGGCAGAGTATCCGCCCTTACCGGTGCGAAAAGAAGGCCAGTCTAATAGTCCTGAAGGAGAAGTCTGGACACCCTCTTACCGAGGATAGGGACATTCTTTGGCGGTGGAGAGAGTACTTTCAAGAACAACCTAATCTCGAGCAGCCATAAGAAGACTCGCATATAGAGCAGCAAATAAGGTATATTTATCCTTAAGTAGTCACAGTCACTGATCTCCAGAGCTCTCTATAAACGTTTGCAATTAAGTGCAGCATGATCGGCATATGTATGAATGTACCTAAAACCCAAACGCCTAGTTCTCTTGCCTTTCTCGTTCTCTTGCCGATTGCGCTCTACATATAAACGGAGAAACAATGAAACAGGTGAACTTCACTTGCGTCGGGGTCATGTTTACTGATGATGGAAAATGGGAAGGATAGGTCGATCGGCGAATTGGAATAGTCACCAGCATCCTACGTGAACTAGTCCAAATGGTTTAAATGAGTTTGAAGACTAGGCTATGAGTGTTCAAGCCGATGTTCATCTCCATGTTTACGTACGGTCATGAGTCGTAGGCCGTGACTGAAAACTTCGATCCCAAGTATAAGCTGCTGAAATGAGCTTTCTGAGGCCAATCACTGGACTCACGCCTCTAGCGGCAGTTTTGGGTACAGATATACGAGAGAGTTTTGCTGTTGGCCGCTGCTTCTATAGATTGAGAAGTCACATCTGCGACTGTTTGGCCACGCCTGGCAAATGGTTTCAGAACCGAAGGCAGAATTGCTGCTATTTGTCCAACCAACTGGCCCATCATTCAGTGGTATTTAAGAATATCCTGGGACAAGTGTATAGAAGGACTCTGCCCCAGACTGCTGATGCTCAGATGCTGTCACAGGATTGCAAATGTCAGAAACACTGTCTTGCACATCTATCTCTGCTACCTGAAAGAAGAGGCGGTCATCGAACGCGACTGACTTTGCCACATAATTACCGTTTGCATAGCATTAGCGATCATTGCTATCTTAGGCTTTTATTTACCTATCTGT